TAGAGGGACAGGCCCAATGTCGCCCAACCGGCTTTCAGGCCTAAGGTGGGGCTAGAACTCACAGTCTCCTGGTGATTGGCCCAAAGTTACTCAACTAGCTTTCAGGCCTAAGGTGGGGCTAGAACTCACAGTTTCCTAGTGATTGGCCCAAAGTTACCCAACCAGCTTTCAGGCCTAAGGTGGGGCTAGAACTCACAGTCTCCTGGTGATTGGCCCAAAGTTACCCAACCAGCTTTCAGGCCTAAGGTGGGGCTAGAACTCACAGTCTCCTGGTGATTGGCCCAAAGTTAACCAACTAGCTTTCAGGCCTAAGGTGGGGCTAGAACTCACAGTCTCCTGGCGATTGGCTCAAAGTCACTCAAGTGGCTTAAGGTGGGACTACAGCTCACTGCCTCCTGGTGATTGGTCCAAAGTCACCAAGTTGCCTTTCAGGCCTAGGGCAGGACTAGAACTCACTGTCTCCCACTTTATAGACCCCCAAACTACTAGACCAATATTTTTTTCAAAACTGCACCAAGGAACAGATTACATGCCAAACCCAGGGGTCATTATCCTCCTGAGCACTAGGAGGTATTAGGTATTAACAATTGCTCTCAGGATCCCCCACCCCCAAACTCCCACTCACCCAAATTTTTACTCTACAGGTACTCAGACAAGTACTTAAAAGTTCAGAAAAGGAAGTGCGGTAAATGCTCACCCTGTTGACCTATAGCCAGGATTACAGGTAATCCTCCCAACCATTCATTTAGGGACTTTTGTTCAAAGTTACAATAGCACTGAAAAAAGTGATTTATGTTTTTTCACACTTATGACCATTGCAGCATCCCCGTGGTCATGTGATTTACATTTGGATGCTTGACAACTGATTCATATTTATGACGGTGGCAGTGTCCCGGGGTCATGTGATCCCTTTTTGCAATGTTCTGCCAAATCAAAATCCATGGGGAAGCCAGTTTCACTTAATCACCCTGTTACTAATTTAACAACTGCACTGATTCACTTAACAACTGTAGCAAAAAAGGTCACAAAATGGGACAAAACTCGGTTAATAACTGTTTTGCTTAGGCCAGTGTTTCCCAAACTTGGCTATTTTAAGATGCATGGACTTCAATTCCCAGAATTCCCCAACCAGTATGCCTGGTTGAGGAATTATGGGAGTTGAAGTCCATACATCTTCAAAGGGTCAAGTTTGGGAAACATTGGCTTAGGCCATGGAAATTTCGGGCTCAATTGTGCTGTAGGTTGAGGACTAGGGGGTGACATGATAGCGGTGTCCCAATTTTGGGGGAGCTGCCACAAAGAAGAGGGGGTCCACCTGTTCTCCAAAGCACCTGAGGGCAGGACAAGAAGCAACAGATGGAAACTAACCAAGGAGAGAAGCAACCTAAAACTAAGGAGAAATTTCCTGACAGTCAGAACAATTAACCAGTGGAATGACTTGCCACAAGAAGTTGTGGGTGCTCCCACACTGGAGGTTTTTTTTTTGAAGAGATTCGATGACCATTTGTCTGGAATGATAGGGTCTCCTGCTTAAGCAGGGCGATGGACTAGAAGACCTCTAAGGTCCCTTCTAACTCTGTTATTCTTACGATCTGTACTACCAAGGACCCATGCTCTCAAGGATCTCTCTCTGTTGGGAGGCCAGGCTTGGCAGACCCTGGAGAAGCTGCTCTCCCTCCGAAATGAGATGGAAACCACCATGTATCATGGTTAAGCCTTTCCAGCATGGCTGAGCTTTCTCAGTAAGATCAAAACTCCTTAGTCAAACCTAGCTAGTGTTTAAAGTTTCATTGCAATGCCATTAATAGAACGAGGCTGTTCATTATCCGGGTCTAATTTGTGTCTGCATTTAATTATATTAGCACACAAGACGGGGCCATCTTTTTTGCATTCTAGCATTTTTCCCTAAAAACTTGCAAAGGAGCTGGAGAATCAGGACGGGAAACACTGCAACCACTGTCGCCTTCCCAGTCCAATACCCCCAGGCCAATACCAACCAATAAAACCGCCTTTTGTTCCAATTTACATTCTAAGAATAAACTCCATAGCTGATTGAATTGCCTCTGTTTCCAGCGTTTAAAAGGGTGCCTTTTATTTCAGCCTTCCCTTGGGCTTCGGAAGTTCCTGGGGCACTCTAGGGTGGGAGAGGCATGTTTTTCTACAGGTAATCGTCAACTGGTGATCGTACAAAGTTATGATGGGACCCTTCAAAAAGGACGTAAAATTGGCCCGTCGCACAATGAAATGCCAGTTTGGCCTAGCAGTTAAGGTACCAGGCTAGAAACCGGGAGATGGTGAATTCTAGTCCTGCCTTATCTTATTAGTCATTTGGGTGACACAGGGCCAATCACCAGGAGATGGTGAGTTCTAGTCCTACTTTAGGCTTGAAGGCCATCCTGGTGACTTTGGACCAATCACCAGGAGACGGTGAGTTCTAGTCCCACCTTAGACTTGAAGGCCGTCTGCATGACTTTGGACCAATCACCAGGAGAGGGTGAGTTCTAGTCCTGCCTTAAGCACAAAATCCAGCTGGTGACTTTGGGCCAGTCCCCCTTTCTCAGTCCAAGCCACTGCACAAGGTTGTTGTTATGGAGAAAACAGGAGATGTTTTGGATATGTTTGCCGCCTTGAATTATTTGTAAATAATTAAATAATTGAACCACCTTAGGGCCATCACAAGTTATAACCATAATGGACGGGTTCCATTGTAGTCATAACTCAAGGCCTGACTGCTTCCTATTCCCTCTGAACCTTAACAGAATTACCCCCAACCTATTTTAAAAGGACGCACAATTTCATGTTCTTTTACGGTGAGAACAAATTTCCATCTAAGAAAACAGAAAAATTTCTATTTGAGGATGTGCAATGTGGAAGCTGTCTTATCTTGGAAAACCTTGGGAATCTTCTCCCCTCAAGAGGCAAGGAGGTTGGACTAGAAGTCCTCCAAAGTCCCTTCCAACTCTTTCTATTCTATTCTATTCTATTCTATTCTATCCTTTCTATTCTATTCTATTCCTATTCTTTTCTATTCTATTCTATTCTATTATCCTATCCTATCCTATCCTATCCTATCCTATCCTATCCTATCCTATCCTATCCTATCCTATCCTATCCTATCCTTGCCTCTTTTTCAAATTTTATTCCCAGTTTTTCCTTTTAACATTTTATCTGACCGATTTACAAATACAGGTAGTCCTTGATTTACAATGGTTCATTTAGTGACTGTTTGAAGTTACAACGGCATTGAAAAAAGGAACTTAGGACCATTTTTCAGACTTACGACGTCCCCCATGGTCACGTGAATAAAATCCAGGCGTTTGGCAACTGACTCGTATTTATGACGGTCGCAGTGTCCCAGGGTCACGTGATCCCCTTTTGCAACCTTCTCACAAACGAAGTCAATGGGGAAGCCAAATTCACTTAACAACCATGTTAACTAATTTAACAACTGCAGTGATTCACTTAACATATGTGTTAAGGAAGGTCGTAAAATGGGGCAAAACTCACTGAACAAATTTCTCACTGAACATGAATTTTGGCCTCACCTGGGGTCGTAAGTTGAGGACTAGCTGGAGAGGAGAGGAGAAATGGGGAGTGTTTCAAAATGTAACCAATCAAAAAATTGAAATACAAAAAGGCTGGGCTACAGATCTCGCCCTATTTATTTTCTTCGTGGCTGCCTTATTAAGGCAAGCAATAATTTGATATGCCAAACATTATTAAAATCATAGAATTGTTCAGTAGCACACCCACACAATGTGTACAGTTTGGCCTATACGCATTCTGAGAGCCATTTCATAATGAGGAGCACAATGGAGACGACTGTATTCTTCGAAATATGCATCTGTTTTCTTTGCTGGCTTTTAACCACGATTGAGGCTGCCCAATATCATTTGCTTTCAAATAAAAATCTGAAATAGTAACTGTTATCCAAGATAAGCACTGAATGTAATATGCTGTTATCCGCAAAAGCTCAAGATAACTCAAAGATAAAACCACACTGACATACAATCCATTCTCTGAAAGCCAAAGCCAATTATGTGTCCTTGACTTACATTCATTCATTTAGTGGCCATTTGAAGTTACAACGGCACTGAAAAAAGCGACTCATAACCATTTTTCATACTTATGACCAGTGGTGGGATTCAGCCAATTCGCACCTATTCGGGAAAACGGTTGTTAACTTTCTAAGCAGTTCGGAGAACCGGTTGTTGGAAGAAATCTTATTTTGTTTTTTTCCACTTTGCAGGGCTAATCCTGTAAGGAAGGCAGGAAGGAAACATTCTGGTGGTGTTTCTAGCCTAATCTTTATTGCCCTGCTTACAGAAACTGCCTCTCTGCTTAACCCTTGTTACATTGTAACAGGTAAGGCGAAGCGCCCATTGATGTGAGTGATCTTGAGTTGGCCATGCCCACACAGTCACATGACCATTGAGCCACGTCTACCCAGCTGGTCATTAGGGCAGAGAACTGGTTGTTAAATTATTTGCATCCCACCACTGCTTACGACCGTTGCAGCATCTCCATGGTCACATGATCAAAATTCAGCCGCTTAGCAACTAACTCATATTTATAATGATTGCAGTATCCTGAGGCCACATGACCCCCTTTTGTGACCTTCTGACAGGCAAAGTCCATGGGGGAAGGCAGATTCACTTAATAAACAAGCCATAATTTAACAACTGCAGTGATTCACTTAACAGCCGTGGCAAGAAAGGTCATAAAATGGGACAAAATTCCCTTCCCAACTGTCTTGTTCAGCAGCAGAAATTTTGTTTGCTCAATGGTGTTCATTCAATTGGGGACCACTTAGTAAAAGATTAGCCTCGTTACTTTTTTCTTAATTAAAATTCATCTCGGGCTTTAAAAATCGAATCAAATGTTGAACATGCGCTCGTTAAAACCATCAGGCGGGAAAGATCAACCGAGTTGACAGCAAAGGGACAGCATGCAAGAACCCACCCACTCACCCACATCCACAATTTAAAAAGAAGCGTCACCTCGTGAGAAATTCGGCGTTGTTCAATATAGGCCATGAATTGCGTGCTGAGGCTGTCTGTCTCCGGACATTTGGCCTGCCTCACTTCTTCCTCCTCTTCCTCGGTGGCACAGCTGTCAATAAAGTCGATCTGATCCAGATCTTGCTCCACTGGACACACAGGAGGGAAAGAGTTATGACATCAGAAACCAGAAATGTATTTGTTGGGCATAATGCCAGAGAGTTATGATAAAGGGACCAGATATTTAGTTTTACATGTATAGGCAGCAGCAAGGATCGTATATGCAAAATACTGGAAAAATAAGAATGCCCCGCCAGATGAGGAAGTAATTCGAAAAATTTTAGACTGTGTTGAAATGGATAGGCTAACTTTAAAAATAAAAGATAAAGAACACACAGAATATTATTTGATATGGAATAGATTTTATGAGTGGTTAGAGACAAGAGGTAGAAATTACAGTTAGAAAGACTATGAATGTTTGTATTAAAAACAGAGATGGTTTACAAGTTCAATCACTATAATTAACAAAAATGTAAATAAGTCAATATAAAAAGAAACAGTTAAAATTATTTGGTTATATAATTCCTATTATTCTAAGTACATGTGTTATTATATTATTATTACTGATATATGTTCATGTCTTTTTAATAGGCTGTACACCGCCCTGAGTCCTTCGGGAGAAGGGCGGTATAGAAATAAAATTATTATTATTGTTGTTGTTGTTGTTGTTATTATGTGTTAATATTTATTATTATTTTCTCTCTGGTCTTTTTTTTTTTTTTTGGAAATGGTATACCCTGACAATACACTGCATTCAAAAACGTTTATGGATAAAATTATTTTTTAAAAAAGAGTTATGACATCAGGCACACTCAGAAGAGCCAAGTCACAAAAACAACCACCAAAAAAAGGGGGATTCTTTTTCTCACAGACCCCCCTCCTCCCAGGCTTTGACATTTATTCAACATCAGATTAAGAAATCTTTAGCTGCACGCTGGTTTTTATCACCACGGCTGCAACATCCTTATCTGGATTCTCTCTAAACAGGAGTGCTGCCAAAAGAGAAAATTTCCACCCTGAAAGATAAATTTCGTTCACTGGAAGATAAAGGGGGGGGGGGGAGAGATTAAACCTTCCAACTACCAAGTTGGAAGGTTTAATGGCTACCCATGAAACCAGAAATGAAGGTTTTATAGCAGTTCACAGCAGAGTTCCCAGGGTGTGTGTATGTGTGTAATCTTTGCTTTGGCACAGAAAAAATCATTTATTTGGGAGTAAAAGATTATCACTTGGGTGGCGGTCTTAAAATTATGTTTTACAGAATGCGGTTGATGTAGGTTTTTATCTTCAAGGGCTTTTAGATAGTCATTTTTTCCCCAGCTTTTTGCAAGGAGGAATTTCCTGACAGTGAGAAGAATTAACCAGTGGAACCTCTGCTTCTCTTTTTCTTCTTTCTTTCTTTCCGTTAGTTTTTATCTGTACGTTTTGTAAAACATTTAACGAAATTGTTATGGTCAACAAATTATTTCCTTGCACTTTACTTTACTTTTATTTAATTTGTATACCGCCCTTCTCCCGAAGGACTCAGGGCGGTGAACAGCCAACAATAAAATACATACATACAAAATTTAAAAAACAGAAATAAAATCGAATTAAATAATTCCACTAACCAAGGACTCGTGGAAAAAGCTATGATTAATGTCCTGAGCTCACAGGAGCCAAACCAAGATTTAAACTGATATTTTGGCAACTTCAGGGATGTTCTTTTTAGGACTTCAGCAGAGTGTTGGAAGCACAAAAGTTGAAAGGTGAGGAAACTACCAAATTAAACCCAGCCGTTTGTCCCGGGTATCTAATAAAGCACAGCTCTATTTCATCCTTTGGTTGACTGGGCCTACAATTAACCCCAGAGCCAAACCACTACAGCAAGGAACCAAAAGCCAATTATAAAGCTTTTGAAACCATCCAATTATTTTCAAGGAAAAGTCCTCGTTTAGCAACCATAATGGGGAGCTGCAACTCAGTCGTGAAGCGAAGCGGTCGCTATGCGACCACAACTATGCATATGATCTGACTTTCTTTTGGTTTACAAACTGGCAAGGATGGGTCACAAAGTTTTTTTGTTTTGTTTTTCATTGCCGTTGTCACTGCAAATGGTTGTTTTATGAGGGATCGCTAAGTGAGGACTACCAGTCTTAGCAGATCATTTGTTTTAAGAGATTATTTCCCATAAATGGGAGCGGCTGAAGAAAACAACCAAAGTTTTATGTGCTTTTATTTAATTTTCAAGGCACCCTGAGATGTAAAATACTTCAAATATATAAGACTATTTCTAGCTCAGAGTCGAAGTGTCCTTGGTGCTCTCTGAGCTTCATTATTTTCCTGCAGACGTTTCGTTGCCAAGTTAGGTAACATCATCAGTGCTGGAAGGGAGTGTGGTTTCTAGCACTGATGATGTTACTTAGTTGGGTAATGAAACATCTGCAAGAAAACAGCCAAGCTCAGAGAGCACTAAGAACCCCCAAAGCTCAAAGATATCTATTTATCCATAATTCTGAAATCTTCTCATCTTTTGAAAAATAGGAACAGGGGTCTGGTACAGTTTAACATGCAATTCTCAAACACCAATCACCTAAAAATCTGCATGTGGAAGGAAGCCACCAAATGAGAGATCTTACCTCCACCGTTTGTGACCAAGGAGTTCCCTCTGTGTTCTTGGTAATGGCTCTCTCTTCTCAACCTCTGTTCTTTCGTGATCTCTGCCACTCGCAGGGGAAGGTCAGAAAACTCATCTGTCGGCTGCATTAAAAATAAAAATAAAACCCCTTTTGTATTGATTAAAGAGACAGAACCTTTATAAATCTTTTCTGGAAAAAGCTGCACCTAAGTCACAGGAGAGTTTTAAAAATATGTACGCCCAAACAGTACAAACAAGATTTATTACTAGTAAATAAAAATTTACTCAGCAGCAAAAATTCAATTCTGGGTTTTCTCTCTTGGCTCAGTTCAGTGAATTTCTTAAAAGGTTCCCCTCACACATATGTGCTAGTTGTTCCTGACTCTAGGGGGCGGTGCTCATCTCCGTTTCAAAGCCGAAGAGCCAGCACTGTCCAAGACGTCTCCGTGGTCATGTGGCTGGTATGACTCAACGCCAAAGGCGCATGGAACGCTGTTACCTTCCCACCAAAGGTGGTCCCTATTTTTCTACTTGCATTTTTTACGTGCTTTCGAACTGCTAGGTTGGCAGAAGCTGGGACAAGTAATGGGAGCTCACCCCATTGCGCGGCACTAGGGATTCGAACCGCTGAACTGCCGACCTTTCAATCAACAAGCTCAGCGTCTTAGCCATTGAGCCACCGCGTCCTTTATAAGTCTTTCCTGGAAAAACTGCACTTGAGTCACTGGAGAGTTTTAAAAATAAGTACACAGTACATACAAGATTTATTACTAATAAATAAAAATTTACTCAGCAGCAAAAATTCAGTTCTGGGTTTTCTCTCTTGGCTCAGTTCAGTGAATTTCTTAAGGACACCTAAAACTGAATGTCAGAAAAGTGGCAGAAATCTACCCCCAGACTTGGGAGAATTATGATCCACTTCAAAGGACATTCCTCATTTTGGTGAAATTAGACAGCAATTCAACGTGGATAATATACTTTTATTCCTATCAAAAAATATTTCAACCTACTGCATCCAAGTTCTCACCATTAGAGGAAAAATTTCAATTTGTTCTATTTCAGTACTATTAGCAGGGGGTGGGGAAAAAACCTCCTCTGAAAGGGAATGACTTCAATGAACTAAGCCAAATTTGTAACAACCCTTCTCTCTTTTTTTTCTTTGCAACTGTCTTTGCTTGACTAGTTTTTTTATTGGAATCAAATATTTGACAGCTTCCTGCCTCCTCGACTAACGACAAGTGGCATAAAAGGATGCTATTGATCAGTGGCCTCCCAGCCTCCATTTTTTTGCAAATTTCAGAGACAAAAGTGAGACGCAAGAGCAAAATAAGATGCTTCAAGATTACAGCCCTCTGAAACGCCGATTCTGCCTTGTTCCACCTCCCTTCCCTAAGCTACAATTATCTGCCAGCCCAACGCAAACCAAGCACAGCTTACTTCATTTCCTGACCATCTCTTATCTCCGCTGTCTACGCTGTTGAACCCGGAATCCAGTGCTCCGTACGGTCGACTCGAATACAGATCTTCATGGCTATGAAAGAGAGAAAGGAAGGAGAAATTCTTCGGGCAACATCTGATATTAGGCAGGAATACAAAGGACACATTCGACCCTTTCAGGCTGCTCTCTATGCTGAAGGTGATTGTACAAGAGAGGCCTTGTTCTTACAACAAAAATATTTTTTTTCCCCTTTTCCTTACACTATTGTTGCATTTCTATTAGCTTGGGCTACTTCATGTAGAAGTATTGGTCAACTGTGCAAGGTATCTGCCAATTGGTATATTTTTTATTTTATCTTATTTATTTTATGTCTTGTCTTGTATTCTATTATTTTATTATTATTGTATTGCATTATATTTTACTATTTTATTATCTTATTTTATTTTACATTTCATTTCATTTATTTTATTATCTTATTATTCAGCTGCCCACCTCAATCAATGACTGTGGGCATCTTACAGTTCAAAGTTATCTTGAAGGCATTGCCATCATTTTCACTATACAGGTAGTCCTCGACCTATGACCACAACTGAGCCCAAAATTTTGGTTGCTAAAGTGAGACAGTTGTTAAATGAGTTTTGCCCCATTTCACAACCTTCTTTGTCACAGTTGTTAAGTGAATCATTGCAATCGTTAAGTTAGTGACACTGTTGTTAAGTGAATATTGACTTCCCCACTGGCTTTGCTTGTCAGAAGGTCACAAAAGGGGATTACGTGACCCCAGGGACACTGCGACAGTCATATTAGCCCGTTGCCAAGCGTCTGAATTTTGATCACATGACCATGGGGATGCATGCAACGGTTATGCGAAAAACGGTCGTAAGTCATTTTTTCAGTGCTGTTGTAGCTTCAAATGATCATAGAATAGAATAGAATAGAATAGAATAGAAAATAGAATAGAATAGAATAGAAAATAGAATAGAATAGAATAGAATAGAGTAGAGTAGAGTAGAGTAGAGTAGAGTAGAGTAGAGTAGAATAGAATAGAATAGAATAGAATAGAATAGAATAGAATAGAATAGAATAGAATAGAATAGAATAGAATAGAATAGGAATAAAGCAAAGCAAAGGAATGGAATGGAATGGAATGGAATGGAATAGAATAACAGTTGGAAGGGACCTTGGAGGTCTTCTAGTCCAACCCCCTGCTTAGGCAGGAAACCCTACACCACTTCAGACAAATGGTTTTCCAATCTCTTCTTAAAAACCTCCAGTGTTGGAGCATTCACAACTTCTGGAGGCAGGTTGTTCCACTGGCTAATCGTTCTAACTGTCAGGAAGTTTCTCCTTAGTTGCTTCTCTCCTTGATTCGTTTCCACGCACTGCTTCTTGTGCTACCCTCAGGTGCTTTGGAAATGAATGGTTGTAAGTCGAGGACTACTTAAATTCAGAGAGTACTGGAGCTCCATCTCCAGCGAGCTCCAGACACGCCCAAGGGGTAGCTTTGATCCACGAAACTGACTCCATCACTATAGACAGAGCCGTGACATAAATCTATCAAGGGCTGAGCGAGCAGAAACAGATGCTCTCCCTATGCACAGTGACCAGAGAGCTCAACACAGTGACTTTACAGATGCCTTATTGAAAAAACTGCTTCGGTCAGCACCCGTGTAACAAAGGACATCCCCGATCCCCTGCCAGTGGACAGTTAACAAAGCATCCTCTTGTCCCCCAGTCCCTGAGGCCCTAGGGGTTCTGTAACAACAACAGCAACAAGTAGACAACTTGGCTTCATCCAGGCCTTGTTAACCATCCCTGGCTGGTTCTCACTTGCAGTAAAACAAAACTCACGGATGGGAGAAGCAATACATGCAATGTTGGTTATTTCTACTGCATCCTGTCTCTGAAACTGCCGCAACCGGAAGCAACGGACATCTCAGGAAGGGATTTATGACCCAAAGTGCATTTCCCAGTGTGGGCTTTTGTGCATTTCCAAGTAGCTGACACCAGGTGTGTGAACAACAGGGTGGATTTGATTTAAATCAACTCGATTTAAATCATAATGTTTAAAGAGCAACTGTCATCTCTGTCCCGCAGTGGCTCCTCCTCTGACCAGCCGTTGACTCACCGACAGTCCCGATATTGCAGAATATACAGTCTCATATGGTATATAACTAAGCTCCATTTCATACTGAATAAACTTAATTATTAATGTATCTTAAATAGAAAATTATCTTTAGATTTTTACTCCAAAAACATTTTATTAAAATAAATTTGATAAAAATGAAAATAAATCTGATTTAAATTTTTTAAAAATCAATTTTTTATTTTAAAAAAAAAAAATCATCGATTTTTATCCACCCTGGTGAACAAACAGGTTTCTCTTTGTTTAAATTTTCCTGTTTGCGTTAGCACTATTCTAATGGGCCTCAGTCCTCTGGGGCAGCAGGTACAGGTGTGACAAGCTAGATCAGGGGTCTCCAATCTTGGCAACTTTAAGACTTGTGGACTTCCAACTCCCAGAGTTCCTCGGCCAGCTTTCCAGGAAGCTTCAACACTTCACCTCAGCTGGTTGCTATGCCGAAAGCTTTGAAGGAGGTTGTGATGATTCAACCAGGAGACTGGGAGTTCTAGTCCCGCCTTAGGCATGAAAGCCAGCAGGGAGACTTTGAGCCAACGACCAGGAGATGGTTAAGAACCCTGAGCAGTGTTTCTCAACCGCAATTTTTAAGACAGGAGGACTTCAACTCCCAGAGTTCCTCAGTCAGCGCAGAGAATTCTGGGAGTTGAAGTCCATCCTTAATTCAGGCGAAAAGTTCAACATGAATTTGAAATTTCTGGCTACTTACCAGGATCCGAAGCCTATCGGTCGCCTATCATAATCGGGAAGGTCTGGCACAACTTTACACGCTTCCATGTTCAGATACTTAAATATGTGGATTTTGCCTTTTATACATATCTAGAAAGGGGAGGGGGAAGACAAAGCATTTTTTATTTGTTACAATTTTATCCACTATATTCTATGATTGTTGATTTAAATGTCGTTTAACGTTTCAATGTTTGTATGCTGTAAGCCATCCAGAGTTATTGGCTACAAAATGGGCGGCAAATAAATTTCATAAATATATTTCGTATGTAAATAAATACATTTTGAAAGCAATGCAGTCTACATGAAACCTAAAGCTATTTTTAAGAAGTTTGGCCAAGCAAATGTCCTCTCCTTTCCCCAGAGTGATTAAAAAAGATCAGACCCAGAGATTCAGAGCAGATCAGATATAAAACCACCACTGGAAATGTACCACCTGCTTTTGACAATAAATTTGAACTCTTTCTGAAGATTACAGCACCACATTCTAGTATGGCTCTTAAAGAAATAAATTGATCCAGTTCAATATATGATGGCAGGTGGTTAAAGTCAGATAAGTCTTTAATGGAAGAACATTTTCTATATAAAAGGACATAAATGTCAATTTTGAAGTTTTAATGCCCAATATCTTCTCTCTCTCTCTCTCTCTCTCTCTCTCTCTCTCTCTCTCTCTCTCTCTCTCTCTCTCTCCCTCCCTCCCTCTCTCCCTCCCTCCCTCCCTCTCCATCTCCCTCTCCCTCAATACAGGTGGGAGTGCTCTTGGTGGTTACTTGATTAAACTGTTCTTATTGTTAGCTTCTTTGTCTGACTTGTACAATGTGAACAGGGCAAGCCACTAGTATATAAACAAAGAGCACATCCCACTCCCTTATAGCACTGATGATGTTATCTAGTCAGGCAATGAAATGTCTCTAAGAAAACAACAAAGCTTAGATGCATCAGTTCAATGTTGAGCTACAAATAATCTCTCCTAAATTCTCCAGTTTTTCTCTGATGGCTGAATTGTGCTACATTCCCCATTTTTTTACCTGATTGCCCTGTATACCATTAGTCTCAAATGTGATTTAATAATCTGTTTTAATCAGCTATCGATTGCAGTTTCCTTTTTGGACTTCAAATGCCAAAGCCTCAAGCAGACTCTTTGGGGTTTCATTTCGTGATAGTTGAGGGCTTCGGATTAAGTGGAGGGTACTAAGCCTTTAAGAGGCGGTTGGGGATTCGTAAATGTATACTGACACATAGGCAATTCTGGGGGATGGCCCCATGCCTCATAAGCAGGCTACTGAAGCATTATTTCTGAATAGGGCCATTATACACTTGCACAGACAGCATCAATTACCACAACTCACAGCAACAGCAAAATAATAGACTGTGATTTTTAGCCTCCCGGTTCTGAGATTTAAATCGTAGGATGCATTTCCATGGAGTGTCGCTGGTCCAAGGTGAATTCTACCTTGCCCACAAAGCACGCATCAAATGCCACGGTCTTAACAACAACTATGCAACAGAGCAAAAACACCAGAAGGCGCGCATGAAGCTAAAAGCCAATTTTTCTCCAACGAAATAACCACAGTTTTAGTCACAATTTAAATTTTAAGACTTGGGGAATACGTTACCTGGGCTGGGGGAGACTGCAAGGGGTTGTTATCTAAGGTGATTGTCTGTAAGTGCCTGAGGTTCCGGTAACACACTGGGATTGTTGTGATTTTATTGCAGGAGAAATCTAACCGAATCAAAGGCAGCTCGGCAAGCTCTGCAGGTGTACACGCACACAACACAATAAAAACGTTATAGGTCAACTAATAATGGAAGCAATAAGACATGAATATCTAAAAATGAGCACATTTTAACTCATATTCCGCAAAAGAGCAGTGACATTAAAACGTGTGTGTGTGTGTGTGTGTGTGTGTGTGTGCGCGCGCGCGCATGTTTTTACCTTCAGGTAAATGTACCAGATGATTCCTCCTGATGTTGAGATCCCGCAAGGAATTTAGATTGCCAATCTGGGGAGGGATTGTCTGGATTTCATTGCAGCTGACATCCTGGAAAACAGAGGCGAGGTCCATTTAAAAAAATGGAAATCCAGTTATTTGAAGGTCCATCTTTTCCAGTTACATCTACCCGACCCACCAGAGAAGGGAGGCAGGGGATGTTGGGGTTCCTATCTCTTAAGGAGGTCCATCTGATGGGACCAAGAAGAAGGGCCTCCTCCAAGGTGGCTCCCGCCCTGTAGAACATCATCCCTGCAGAGGTAAGATTGGCCCCCACCTTGACTCCCTTTCGCAAGCCCTGAAGACCTGATTGTGAAAAGGAGCCTGGCGACCCCAGAGGCACGCAGAGTTCATCAAGCGACTCATTTGATTGTTGTCGCCAAGGGGCAGGAGTGAGGGGTTATTGTTTTTATATTGGGTTTTTTATCTTTGTAAGCCCCCTGGAGTCACTAAGAGAGAGTCAAGCTGCCAGATATAGTCTAACAGACAGATGGACAGATGGACGATAGCTGGAGGGGGAGGGAGGGGGAGGGAGGAAGGGAGAGAAAGATAACTAGCTAACTAGATATCTAGATGGTAGAGGCAGATAGATGATAGATGATAGATAGATAGATAGATAGATAGATAGATAGATAGATAGATAGATTAGATAGGTAGGTAGGTAGGTAGGTAGGTAGGTAGGTAGGTAGGTAGGTAGGTAGGTAGGTAGGTAGGTAGGTAGATAGATAGATAGATAGATAGATAGATAGATAGATAGATAGATAGATAGATAGATAGATAGATAGAGGGATGGGTGGATGGATGGATGGAGACAGACAGACAGACAAGGCAGGCAGACAAGGTAGGCAGACAAGGCAGGCAGGCAGACAAAGACAGAGACAGAGACAGAGACAGACAGACAGACATCTTACATGGAAAAATTAAGTCAAAATATAATTGAACAGGATGGAGAGGGAAGGAGCCAGGTGAGCACAGAGATGAGGTAGGGTGTTCTCTACTCCATCAGCCCGCTCCAAAGTGGCACACCGCCTTGGTGCCCCAGGCTAGTTGGCACAGCCATGTCTTTCGGAAGGCCGAAAGGATGACAGTGGATCTAACCTTGGGGGGAGAGGGGGGGTAATATGTTCCAGAGGGTGGGAGCCACAGCAGAAAAGGCTCTGTCCTGGACCCCGCCAGCCAGAATTCCTTGGCTGAGACAGGGTCCGCAGCAGGCCCCTTCTGCTGGCACAAGTGGGGTGGGCCAATCCCATAGGGGTTTCTCGGATAGCCTGGCCCCTGCCATGATCAGCGTTCCCCGAGGACTACCTGAATATATGATTACAACTGATCTGCCATTCTCTCTCAGGAATCACCATCTCACTGTTTAAATAACCTCAATGCTTATTTAAACAACATCGTGAAGCTAAACGAAAAACCACAAAAATTTGGCAGATGTCCCACTGGCTATTAAAACCTCAGAGAAGCAACATATGAGGTTTAAAAGTCAGAGCATGTTAATGGCAATAAATAACAGTCCTGGGATGCAAACTGGGGAACCTTCATTAAAGTCAGGATATTGACAGAGAAACAGAAATACTTAATCTGATTGTTTAAAAAAAAAAAAAATGAAATACTGCTACAGGTAGTCCTCGACTTACGACCACAACTGAGCCCCAAATCTCCATAGCTAATCAAGACAGTTGTTAAGTGAATTCTGCCTTACTGTACAACCTTTCTTGCCACAGTTATTAAGTGAAACACTGCAGTTATTAAATTAGTGACACGGTTGTTAAGTGAATCTGGCTTCCCCATGGACTTTGCTTCGCAGAAGGTCGCAAAAGGGGATCCTGTGATCTCAGGACACTGGAACCATCAAAAAGACATGCCAGTTGCCCAGCGTCCAAATTTTGATCATGTGACCATGGGAATGCTGCAATGGTTCTAGGTGCATAAGTCACTTTTTTTCAATGCTGGTCTAAATTCAGTCACTAAACAAATGGTCGTAAGTCGAGAACAATCTGCATTTCAGGGCAAACTATTGGTAAACCATTACAATTTTTATCCACCATTAAGTCAATTTTTTTGAACAAAAAAACCTGACTTAATTGTAGATAAAAGTTCTAAATTTTTTCTGAACAAAACTAAATTTCAGCCATCAAATCTAAATCCATAAAGCAGCAGATAGCAGAATCAAAGGCCAAGGTCGGAAAAGACGTAGGCACTTACAAGCTCCATCAGATGTCTCAGATGTCCGATTTCTTCTGGGATGGAGACCAGTTTATTGTTGCTAGCTATCAGAACTTTTAAGGGCAGGCTGCACAGGTGGACAGGCAACGTTGAGAGCTGGTTACGGCTTTTCAGGAGAGGGGGGAAAAAAAAGAAAAGAAATAAGGTATCAGAAAGAGGACCTGCATAGCATGGCGTCAGAATGCAAAGACCTTAGTGCATTTTGGACAGACAAATTCAACAACCAAATCACCTTTTTTTTCTAAAGGAAAAAAGAGCAATTATTTATTTTGGTCCACTTTAACTGAATTCCCGAACTCACAGACAGTTGTTTATTGGATGGATTCCTTGGTGCTCTCTAAGCTTGGTTGTTTTCTTACAGACCTTCCATTACTAACTAGGTATCATCTGGATACCTAGTTAGAAGGTATGCTGGAAAGGAGAGGGGTTTGCAGGATGAAGTAAAAGGTGGAGGAGGAGGAGGACTGTGGGGTCTTGGTGCTTTCTGAGCTTGGTGATTTTCTTGCCGATGTTTCATTACCCAACTAGGTAACACCATCAGTGCTAGAAAGGAGTGGGGTTTGCAAAGAGTACTACTACTACTACAACTGCTACTGTGGAGTCCCTTATTGCTCTTTGAGCTTGATGTTTTGTTTACTGACATACCAGCTAGGTAACATCATCAGTACTACAAGGGGGTGGGGTTTGCTCACTGAAGTTTATTTGTGTGCTTAAAAAAGAAACAAGGCTCATGCTGTACATTCTCCTGATCTTCTCAAAATTATGATTCACAGGACTCGATATCATTCCATTTATACCGTATTTTTTGGAGTATAAGACCTTTTTCCCCCAAAAAGAGGGTGAAAAACTGGGTTCGTCTTTTACTCCGAACGTAGTCCCACCCAGCCTCGCAAACGGAGATTTCAGAGGCTGAAATAAGCCTGTGAAAGAAGCTTCAGAAAAAAGCCTCCAAACAGAGCTTCAGAAAAAAAAGCCTTTTTTTCTGAAGCTCTGTTTCGGAGGCTTTCAGAGGCAGAAAAAAAGTTTTTTCTGAAATGGAGTTTCTGAAACGAAGCCTCTGAAAAAAAAGGCTCTGAAACGAAGCTTCAGAAAAAAGCCTCCAAATAGAGCTTCAGAAAAAAAGCCTTTTTTTCCGAAGCTCTGTTTCGGAGGCTTTCAGAGGCAGAAAAAAAAAAAGTTTTTTCTGAAATGGAGTTTCAGAAGTTTCAGAGGCAGAAAAAAAAGCAAGGGACAGAGCTCACAACCAAGGAACCTGTTGCTAAAATTCACCTCTGGGAACAGCTGATTGGGGGTATTCCGGGAGGCCGATCCACCTACCAATCAGCTTTTTTCTTATTTTCCTCCCCAAAAACTAAGATGTGTCTTATACTCCGGTGCGTCTTATACTCTGAAAAATACGGTATATATATTTTTTACATTTTGGAAACTCAAAAGAAAGCTGCTTTTTGCTGTACGTATCAGGAGATGCCATTCTAAGTAATAAATACCTTTGTAGGAACCTCGTGAGCTTATAAAACCTGTTAATAAAGTAAAGGGATCCAGACAATCAGTGAAAAAACCATGCACACGGAAACACTGGCTGTGTTTTTTTCGATCTACGCAAAGGCTAAAGATTTCAGGTCTGCAATTCCACACAATTTAGCTCTGGTAAATAAAGATTGTCTGAGCTTCTGTTGATTTATTAAGCATTAAGTGTTTCTCAACCTGAAGATGTGTGGAATCCCCAGAGCTGGCTGGGGAATTCTGGGAGTTGGAAGTCCACACTTCTTCGAGTTCCCAAGGTTGAGAAACACAAGATTAAGCAACGCATCAGGACAATGTTACTATCCAGTCCAGCGTTCAGGATCAATCTTGCGCCTTCAGGAAGTCATTAGCATGGAGAGGCGGACAGGCATCCCTTTCCGGTGTTGTGGCCAGGGATATGGCGAAGGAGGTCATAAGCAGCCACGAAGTCATCAAGAGTCCTGGCTGAACCCATAGGAATTTATGCAGCTCTTTTTGACAGACATCCCCACGCCCGACGGCAGCAAATGCCGGCGTCCTTTCTTGAGCTTTTTCTGCTTTGTCTGAAATGGTACAGGGTCTCCTGCTTGACCAGGGGGTTGGACTAGAAGACCTCGAAGGTCCCTTCCAACTCTGTTATTCTGTTAACAGTTGTAGGAATTGGGTATGTCAACTTTAATGAAGAGAAGGACCAGGGGAGACATGATAGCAGTCTTCCAGTATTTGAGGGGCTGCCCCAAAGAAGAGGGAGTCAAGCTATTCTCCAAAGAACCTGAGGGCAGGAGAAGAAGCAACGGATGGAAACTAATCCAGGAGAGAAGCAACTTAGAACTAAGGAGAAATTTCCTGACAGGGAGAACAATTAACCAGTGGAACAGCTTGCCACCAGAAGTTGTGGGTGCTCCAACACTGGAAACTTTTAAGAGGAGACTGTACAACCATTTGTCTGAAACCATTTATGCAGGGGGTTGGACTAGAAGACCTTTAGGGCCCTCTCCAACTCTATTCTTCTGTTAAGTAGTTATAATATTCTTCCTTTTCATTTGAATGGATCATCAGAGTCCTATTCAGATGATGCACCTGCCTGAAGAGCGCTCACGGAAGCCGTGGGAAGCAGCTCCTCCCTTCCACAAAGCCGCCCTGTGTTGTTAGCCTTCCTCAAGGTCAACTTGATTATGTGTGTGCAACGCACACAAAGATTTCTGAAATGCGACAATGCCTCGCTTGAAAGGAACTCCCAGTTCCAACCATGACCCAAATTTGCTCTGTCCACAATTTCCACACCACAAATAATTAGTAGTTTCAATGTTATTATTGTTATTGTATTATCATATGATTATATTATCAATATTACAATGATGAATACAACAAATATATGTATCAAGATTGTTTAAAAATAATTGTACCCAGACCACACACTGTTTGATGAAAATTGAATGTTATATAAACAAAACAAATAAAACATCAAAATTCAAAAAAAATTTACTGACTAGTTTTTGATTAGAAATCAAGGAATTCAAAACACAAGAAGCTAAACTCTGCACACACACACACACCCATTCATTAATAATAATAAAAAATAGGTACAGGCAGTCCTCGACTTACAACAGTTCATTTAGTGACCGTTTGAAGTTACAAGGCCACTGAAAAAAAGTGATTTAGGACCGTTTTTCACACTTTACAAACGTTGCAGCATCCCCATGATTTTGTGATCAAAATTCAGGCACTTGGCAACTGACTCATATTTATGACGGTTGCAGTGTCCCAGGGTCCCTGATTCCCTTTTTGTGACCTTCTAACAAGCAAAGTCATTGGGGGAACCCAGATTCATTTAACAACAGTTGTGAACAACTGTGAAGTGATTCACTTGGCAAGTAAGGTCACAAAATGGGACAAAAATCACTTATCAAATATCTCACTTAGCAACAGAAATGTTAGGCTCAATTGTGGTTGTAAGTGGAGGACTATCTATATTCCATGTTTTATTAACTATTAAAAATGGTTCTGTAACCCTGAAAGTAATCTTGTTGAAATGTACATGTAAATGGTTAGGCATTTGCTTTATCTTTATTCTATTATTTCTAGTCCCTTGTGGATCCATTCAATAAGTTTGCATAAATCACCCGTCAATCCATCCAATTAATCTATTAGTCACCTAAATACTCAGCCTGCAAACCTAACTTCATCCTTGTGTGATGAGAAGAAACAATCTCGGAGCGACAACCTATACACAGCACAGAATTCCTCTCTGTAATCCCTTGCCACACAACAAAATTGTTGAAATTTCCTGATTGGGGAAGTAAGATTTTAAATTAAAAAAAAAAAAAGAAATCCAGCGAAAGAGGAATTTTAAAGCATCCAACATGATAATCACAATTCTTTTACTAAAACTCAGGAAAAAAAAAAAAGTGGGGTCTAAAAATTCCAGGCCCGCATTGCCAATTTTCCCGCAGCCCTGTGTGGCCCACAATTGCAAAAGGATTTCCTGCTTATTTTTATAAAGAGGAAACTCTTGCAGCTGAGAGCTGGCAGCCGAACACGGGCCCAAGAATTTCTCTCTCTATATATATATATATTCATCCCAGTGTAATTAGTGTGATCTATACCTTCTATGCCTTGTTTTCTTTGAGCTATTCTTTTATTATCCTTACCAGTAAATAAAATATATTTATTCCTGGTTCCAGGATATAACCCTCAAGGCTGAATATAAGAAAAATGCTGAGGCCCTAGAAAGAGTGCAGAGAAGAGCAATAGGGATGATCAGGGGCCTGGAAGCTAAACCATATGATGAATGATTGATGGAATTAGTTGTGAGGGGTCCTTGGTGCTCTCTGAGCTTGGTTATTTCCTTGCAGGCGTCTCACGATCCAACTAGGTAACATCATCAGTGCTAGAAGAGAGGGGGGTTTCCAGAGAGGAGGAGGAAGAGGAGGAGGAGGAAAGGGGAGGTGGAGGAGAAGGACCTTGGGGTCCTTGGTGCACTCTGAGCTTGGTTGTTTCCTTGCAGACATTTCATGACCCAACTAGATAACACCATCAGTGCTAGAAGGGAACAAGTTTGTGGAGAGGAGGAGAAGGAGGAGGAGGAGGAGGAGGGGGATGAGGCGGAAGAGGATTGGGGGGCTCTCTTCGTGCTCTCTGAGCTTGGCTGCTTTCTTGCAGATGTTTCATTACCCAATGAAAAGGTAGCATTGTCATTGCTATCTTACCTAGTTTGGGTCATGAAACATCTGCAAGAAAACCACCAAGCTCAGAGAGCACGAAGAGCCCCTCACTTCAACCCTGAGCTACAAATATTCACCTCTGTTGGAACTAGGTTATGTTTAGCCTAACAAACAGAAGGCTTGGGGGAAGATAGCTGTCTTCCACTCCTTGAACGGTTTCACAGGGCTTTGATTTATTTTCCACAGTACCTGAGGACAAGAAGCAGTGGGTGGAAGCTCCTCGGAGGAAAACCCACCTGGAAGTAAGAAGGAATTTTCTGACAGTGAGAACGATTAATCAGTGGAAGAGCCTGCCTGCCTCCCAGAGTAATGTGTGCTCTATCGCTGGGGGTTCGTAAGAAAATATTTTGGCAACCATTTGTCCAGGATGGAATAAGGG